ACAGGCAGAGAGGTGTAATCAGTGTGTGCAGGGGCTTGACACTGCACCCACAACCTACTGATCACAGATGCAATACTTTGCAGGCTCCAGTTTTAAAAAATAATAAATGCACATCTTTCCTCTGCAACAGAAACATCTGTATAAAATCATTATAGCACCCTTTACCATAAATATTTTTTTTTCTATGTGTGTATTTTCTAAATCAGTCTCTTATCACTTTCATGTACTGCTTCCATCTGAATTACCTGGTTGACTCTGCCAGTCACGTTTCTTCCTTGTTCTAAACTGGTCTGTGTTTGCATGGATGGTTTACATACTTTGGCTGGCCATTCAGAGGTACAGGACACTGTGGAGGCACACAGCATGCCTGTAATGGGTAGTTTGTTTCAGCCTTCATGCCCCCCCAACCAATCACAGTCTACCCCTGACACACACCCCCACCCAATCACATCCTGCCTCTTGACCACTCAAGAAGAGATCCATCGTCACATGACAGAACTTTCTAACCTTGTAAAAAAAAGGAAGACAGATCATTTCTAAAATCCAAGTAAAAGCTGTTACGGTGTCTGCATAGTTATAACTGTAACCTGAAAGAGTCTATAATTTTATGCACACAACTACTTCATTGGAGTATGATGACCACGTCTCCTCTGCAGATGATATCGAAGTGGGCCTGTTGGCCTTGAATGTCATGGGTGACAGATACCAAAACCAATTACTGGAAAAATGGCCTTGAATTATCTATGCTAAGCAATAAACACAAGCTCTGCCAGGACAGAGAATTTACACAGCTCCTTATGTTCAGGAGAGAGTTTCCATCTTGCTGTGGCTATGAGATACCTTTTATTATTAAAGTGGTTGTAAAGTTTTACATACTGAATACCCAGTGAAGTGACGTCATTCCCTGGCATAAAAGAACAGAGCAAAATTAAAGAATGTTAGCCTAAACACTACCTAAACAAAGTGCAAGTTCACATGTAGTGTTTTAAAGTGATTGTAAACCCTTACATATACCCAGTGAAGTGACTAGCCTCAGGCGATATATGGAGATAAACCTGTCTATCTATAGCTATTTCTTCTCTACAGCTGTCTAAAAACACACAATTTCTACAGTATCTCTCAACAGCAGAAAGCAGGGGGCGTGGATCTGATATCACACACACTGTAGAGCTAGAGCACAAAGCTCTATGACACTTGATAGCAAAGTTGAGGGAAGGGATACACCCCCCATTTCTAAGGCTCATAGAAAAAGCAAATAAGCTAAGGCTATTAGTCACCTGCTGTGTGGGGTGAGTTCTCTTCCTGAGGCTGTTGTGTCGGCTAAGAGTTCTCTCAGTGACTCATGCTGATGGAACAGAATCCAGAACGGAACCAAACTCAGTACTTTGGATTTAGGCTACTATGCACTATAGATGGACGTGCTTTATTCATTTTTCATTTCTGAGCCCATTCTGTCAAGGCTTCACCCACATCCTGGACTCACAGAAGAATGCTGTAGAGAGTGATGCCACATTATCACATGGTATTGCTCATCACAGCATTTAGGATCTGCCCACTATCAGGAAGAAAAAGGTGAATAGGACCCGTGATGCCACTTGACCGGTTTTTTTTTCATGCGTGTAGGTTGCTAAAAAATGGATAGGGGGAATAAATCTGAAGTCGTCTGGAGATTTCTGCTCTACAGTAGGATGCGATCAGGTCCAGGGCACAACTGGACCTAACCACAGCCAAAGGTAGTGCATGAATCTCCAGAAAACCCCAATGAACATCGAGTGTGGCCACCTAAATTCTGCATTCAGACAGCCATATTCTCCACATGTGCTAAAATAGGTTGTTTGGGCCTAGGATGAGCAATAAAATGAATGTGCGTGTACATTAAACACAATCTTTGCTATACTTTCCATTTACGGACAACTAAATATTACTGTATCTGTCTCATGGTTTTTATGCCTCTTTTTTCCTTGTTGCTGCTCACCTTGAGCCCCACTGACTCAACTAAATCTTAAGTTTGGCTTTAACTAAAGCTGGCATCACATACATTATACAATTTTCTTATTCAATTTCCTTTAGATTTAACTCTATAGTGCAAGGGCTTACCTGATTGCATACAATTTAAAAGTGTTTAGGTTTGATTTTGGTAAATCTAAATGTAAATTGTACAAGAAAATTGTATAATATATGGCCAGCCTAAGTCAACAGAAAATAACATTAAAGGAGAAGTACAGCCAAATCTCATGCTAAGGTCTGCTGCTGGTGTCACTCATTTGGTCCAGGCTGGGGAAAGATTCTGACCATATGGTCAGGATCCACCCAGGCGCTTAGACCGGTACCTGGCTCACCCTTTCCCCTGCGCCCTCCACAGCCCAGCACTCCAGTGAGTGTTGGAGGGGCACAGCAAAGAGCCGGAGACTGACAGAGCGGAGGGGAGAACTGAGCAATCAGTGGTGTTTGATCATTCAGTTCCCACCCTTACAACCGGCAGGGGACATATTGGATCAATGCTGCATCCACCTAGATAAGTGTAATTTAAAAATAAATTCCAATACTTCTCTTTTAATGAGTTACAGCACATCAGCTATACTTTTAACAGTTTTTTTTTATTTGGCAACATAAAGTACATATCCTAACAAACCCTGAACATTTTGATGTCTCACACTAATGCCACAATTAATTTATTCTAGTAAAAGATCTAAATAATGCCTAAAATATTTGCAAGTGAAAATGAATGGCCTTTATACTGACAAAAGCAGGTTATTCCAATATCTATAATTAGTTTACAGTGGGGTTTTCCTGCTATATTACAAGATCAAAAGAATACATTACCTAGAGAACACTGCCACGACACAACCACGAAAGGAAAAGTGGAGAAGATTTATGGGACAATGAAAACAAGTGCCTGGCAGTTTATTTTATTCTAGGTAGAATGTAAATGTATGCCTTCAGGAGAAGCATTTATTTACTTGTTTATTCCAATTTGTTTCTGCATCACTTGCTTTGCGTTAAAGGCAGAGTGGAAGAAAAAACACTTCTCGCTGATTCCATGCATATCGTTGCCTTATATATCAATGTGTTCCTATATATAGTCTCCTGTGCCCGGCCTTTAATTAAAAGATATCAGAAGTGACAGAGATTATTCTAGATGTGCAGTATAACGAATTTAGAATACGTGTGTGAGAAATTGCACTGCACTCCCAAAAGATCACAGAATATTTAATCAGAGAAAGTTTAGAACAGAGGTAAAAAATAGATATTGCATATACTTTTTGTAGAACAGGAATTTTGTTAGATAAGTCCTTGCTATGATCTTAAGGTAAAACTCCTCTACCCCATAAAATAAATATAATCATCAATGCATTCCATGTCCTTATACAGTACACTAACCTGATTGCTACACCCAAGATAGATATAAAAATCATGCATTGTTTAATGGGCATCCACTGAGGTTTCTCCTCAAAACTTTCATCTGTCTGAACGAATACTGGAGGACATTTGATCTAATAAAGCCTACCTTTGCATAGAACTGTCTGCTAATGGCACCATGATGGCCTACCACATGCTTCCATCTCTCCAGTGTCTATTAGGCTCCTTCTCGAACTGTTAAATGCTCCAGTGGGCCATCATGAGATACTTGCCTAGGCTAATGAATAGATCTGTCTACCCAAGAGACATCTTGCTGATATAACAAGTAGAACATTGGAGGGGACATTAACACTAACTGATACTGGGGATACAGCCATATTTGTGTCCTCTGAGTGAGGTTCATTATTTCTCCCATAAGTCTATGTCTAGTTTGCTGGATAAAATCTTCTTCTGTTTTACAAGATGTTTCTGCCTGAAGATGTATGTGCAGATCTACAGCAGGGGTACTCAAACTGCGGCCCGCCGAGGATATTTATCCGGTCCACCGGGTGTTTTGAAATATTTGGCATCCTCCTGCGCACTTTCACGGCGGCATCCCCTGCATACTTTCACTTTCATTCCACCAGCACCGCTCTGACTGGCTCTGCCTCTCCCTCCCTCAGCTCCCTCACCTGCCCCTCGGCTCCAACCCCAGTGATAGTACTGTGTGCTGGGGATGTAGATCCGGCTGGCGCGGCGAGTAAATGATAGAGGGGTGGAGTCTGTGATCTCTGGAGGGGCTGCCTGCAGTTCTCCCGCGCTGGGCAGTGACAGACAGCCAAGGAGAAGGACACTGATCAGACTGCATTGAATTGATGGACACTGGTGAGGCTGCATTAATGGACACTGATCAGACTGCATTGATGGGCATTGGTGAAGCTGCATTAATGGACACTGATCAGACTGCATTGATGGGCATTGGTGAGGCTGCATTAATGGACACTGATCAGACTGCATTGATGGGCATTGGTGAGGCTGCATTAATGGACACTGATCATACTGCATTGATGGACACTGGTGAGGCTGCATTAATGGACACTGATCATACTGCATTGATGGGCACTGGTGAGGCTGCATTGATGGGCACTGATCAGACTGCATTGATGGGCACTGGTGAGGCTGCACTGATGGGCACTGGTGAGGCTGCATTGATGGGCACTGATCAGACTGCTTTGATGAACACTGATCAGGCTGCATTGATGGGCACTGGTGAGGCTGCATTGATGGGCACTGGTGAGGCTGCATTGTTGGGCACTGGTGAGGCTGCATTGATGGGCACTGATCACACTGCATTGATGGGCATTGGTGAGGCTGCATTAATGGACACTGATCAGACTGCATTAATGGACACTGATCAGACTGCATGATGGGCATTGGTGAGACTGCATTAATGGACACTGCTCATTCTGCATTGATGGACACTGGTGAGGCAGCATTAATGGACACTGATCATACTGCATTGATGGGCACTGGTGAGGCTGCATTGATGGGCACTGATGAGACTGCATTGATGGGCACTGGTGAGGCTGCACTGATGGGCACTGGTGAGGCTGCATTGTTGGGCACTGATCAGACTGCATTGATGGGCACTGGTGAGGCTGCATTGATGGGCACTAGTGAGGCTGCATTGTTGGGCACTGGTGAGGCTGCATTGATGGGCACTGATCAGACTGCATTGATGGGCACTGGTGAGGCTGCATTGATGGGCACGGGTGAGGCTGCATTGATGGGCACTGATCAGCCTGCATTGATGGAGAATGGTGAGGCTGCATTGATGGGCACTGGTGAGGCTGCATTGATGGGCGCTGATCAGACTGCATTGATGCGCAGTGCAGTCTGTTTGTCTCTGTGTGGGCAAAGTTATTGCTGGTATATTGTTTTTGTTGCGCTATATATATATATATATATATATATATATATATATATATATATTGGTATTTTACTAATAGCAATTTTTTTTTTTTTTTAAATATAGTCCGGCCCCCCAACGGTCTGAGGGACAGTGAACTGCCCCCCCGTTTAAAAAGTTTGAGGACCCCTGATCTACAGGATTGGGAATGTTTTCCAATGGGAAGTTATAGTACATATGGATTAAATTTGCATCCCCTCTTGAAATCTCATATATTAGATGCAATCAGGATGTCTCTGGCCTAGAATTAGGGAACACTCGCCACAAGCTTTCAGCTTACACTGATGATTTACTTTTTTATATATCTAAACCGCAGATAACCATCCCAGTCCTTCTACGTGAACTGGATATATGTGCTACCTTCTCTAATTATAAGAGAAATCTTTAAAAATCAGAAGTCCTAAATATTAATATTCCCGCTCTATGTCTTAACAATATCAAATAAAATGTCCCCGTTAGATGGGTGCACAATAAACTCAAGTATTCCTCACCTTCTTTTTGGATACTTTTTCAGAAAATCTTCCTCCCTTTCTGACCACAAACTGATTTGTATTAGAAGAAATAGCGTATTGAAAATAAATATCTTGCCCTGCTTATTATTCCTCCTCCAGACTCTATCTATACATATCCCACCCACCCACCTACCTACATAGCGTCAAAAGCCTGTTTGTACATTTCTTATGGACCCATAAAACCACCAAGGCATTTCAACAGCTCTGCTATGCTTGCACAAACAGAAAGGGAGAATTAATTTCCCTGACCCTATGTGTGAACACCAGGCAATCAATCTACGATGAGTTATTGACTGGTGTAAACATGCTCCATTTAAAAGCTGGGTAAGCATTGAGCAGGATGCATCCCCAATCCCTCTCCCAGCCCTACCATAGGTATACACCCATATCCCAACAGATCTCAAAAAACATCCATTAATAGACAACACACAGAAAGTTCTGGTTGGCTCAAAATGCCTTTTAACTCTCTCTCCTGCTCTTTTTGCAATGCTCTCAGTGATTGGTAACCCAACATTCTCCCCTGGAATGACTGATGGGCAGTTTTAACCACCTTCCGCCCGCCCTATAGTACAATGACGGGCGCAAGGTGGTTTTCTCGTTCTGATAGGACGTCATGCGGGTGCGCTGTGTCCCTCGGACACAGTGGATCACGGAAAGAGCCGAAGATGTTGGCTCGGTCATGTGATCAGCTGTGTCCAATCATAGCTGATCACATGTAAACAGGGAAATGCCGGTTATCAGCATTTCTCTCCTCTCGAGCTGTCACGCTGACAGCTCGAGAGGAGAGGAGAGCCGGTAATCGGCTTTCCGAGGAGGGGACATGTACACAGATCATCAGGGCACTGATGATCAGTGTGCCCTGATGATCAGTGTAGCCCCAGAAGTGCCACCTGTCAGTGCTCATCAGTGCCACGTGCCAGTCCCCATCAGTGCCACATGCCAGTGCCCATCAGTGCCATATCAGTGCACATCAATGCCACATATCAGTGCCCATCTGAGCTGCCTTTCAATGTCACCCATCAGTGCCAGTCAGTGCCACCTATCAATGCCAATCAGTGCCACCTATCAGTGCTGCCAATCAGTGCCAGTCAGTGTCGCCTATCAGTGCGCATCAGTGCCAATCAGTGCTGCCTATCAGTGCCAGTCAGTGCCGCCTATCAGTGCCAGTCAGTGCCGCCTATCAGTGCCAGTTAGTGCCGCCTATCAGTGCCAGTCAGTGCTGCCTATCAGTGCCATATATCAGTGTCATGTATCAGTGCTGCCTTTCAGTGTCCATCAGTGATGCCTGTCAATGACCATCAGTGCAACCTACCAGTGCCTCCTCATCAGTGCCCATCAGTGCCACCTATCAGTGTCCATCAGTGCAGCCTATCAGTGCCCATCACTGCAGCCTCATTAGTGCACATCAGTGAAGGAGAAAAATCGCTTATTTACAAAATTGTATAACAAAAACTAAGAAAAAACTTTTTTTTTTCAAAATTTTCAGTGGTTTTTTTTGGTTTGTTTAAGAAAAAATAAAAACCCCAGAGGTGATTAAATACCACCAAAAGAAAGCTCTATCTGTCTAAAAAAAAATGATAAAAATATCATATGGGTACAATGTTGCATGACCGCGCAATTGTCATTCAAAGTGCGACAGCGCTGAAAGCTGGAAATTGGCCTGGGCAGGAAGGGGGTATAAGTTCCCTGTAGGCTATTGGTTAAATCCTTTCTGAAGCAAAACACTTTCAGACTACAGCAGGCATCTCAAAGTGTCAGTCTAAACTATATAGCTGAAATTCGATCTATGGTTAAGCATCCCTACCTATGCTTGCATGCAGTGCAAGTCCGGCACTTCCTCTCCCCTCTGAAACCCCTTCAGACTGCTATTCCTCAACCTACAGAGTTCAAAACCATTTGCCTTGACTCCATCCCCCCAAGACATGCACTATCATTGGTCTAGGTCATTCTAACAAACCCACCTGATGACATCTGTCCGCTTGTTTTGTGTACATGGGAACGAGACCTGAATCAAACACAGACAATAAATATTAACTGGGTAGTACAGAGTCCTTGTAATGTAACCTGTAGCTTTCTGTCCTCCATGTGTCATTGCTTGGGCCTGGCAACAGTTTGCTCAAACATAGAGCACTGCACTATGTGATATGGGGAGACAAGCCTATCCCCCAGAAATAAGAAAAGACTGCTAATCAAGTAGTAATCCAGATTGTCACTGAATAGACTGCGAAAGCAAATTACTATCCTGGCACCACATGTCATCTGGCTTGATTCTTAAATTTCATTTTTGGTTGTTTAGTGTAGCCATGGGTTTGCTCCAACTATTTGAGTCTGGTGATGTCACCTTGTCATTCTGACTATAATCATTAACTAGGATAGAGATGGTTCAACTGTGCCTTGCCTCCCCCCTGCAGCAACAGCTGTAGAGGTGCATTGGGGTATTAGTGGGGCAGAATGAAGTCTGACCTGACTGGATCCAAATCTCTCATAAATTTCTCATGAAGAAAAAAGTAAAAAAAAAAATAATGAATAGGTATATATAAGTAATAACAATGAGCTGCTCATAAAAGCAAGTGCAATTTCAATCAACGCATACAATTAATCACAACACTTTTTGCTGCCTCTGTCGTGATGTATAGTAGCATTGAAAGGGGTGAAAAGCTCTGCTAGATCAAAATAAAAACATACATACTGATCTTTACCATTCCACTAACTACATCATATAAACAGGACACTCATGTGATATCCTTGAATTTTTAGATTTTAAAAAAAATATTTTTTTTAATCTTTTCCTAAGTGAACCCCTAGGCAATAAAAATATATGTATCTAAAACTCCTACCAAACTGAAACCCTATGTGCACCCTCCCCCACCCAACAAATGTTTAATTACATAGACTATAAAAGCTGTAAAGTGAAGGGCAGAGTTATCTACAAAAACTACAAAACAAATGCTCAGTCCCTCAAAGGGGTTATACAGAGAAAAAGGTTCTGGCACTGAAGAAGATGCCTAACTCCACCCAAAATATTAAAACAGCACTTTGGACTGCCTTTTAATTTACCCATGCAAATAACAGAAGCTGAACTCTAGGTACATATAAAATACACAAATGAATGCAGCTATTAATACAATAAATAAATGTAGCGATGTAAATACCTAAATATGACTTGTTGTCAGCCTCTTGCAGTCCCTGTACAGCAGAGCTGGAGTGTGACAGGAAGAAGCAGCACAAGCAGCCAATCAGCTCACATACTAATAAGAGCCATGCTGATAGAAAGAGAGAGCAGAGTCACAAGCTCATCACTGTGCTGCTTCTCCTTTCACTGTGCAGTTACTGGCTGGGGGGACAGGATGGGTTGGGCACAGGAAGTTGGGTTGAATGATTCTGAAAAATCAGACTGACGACATTTAATGGTAGCAAATGGTACTGCAGGGTCAAACTCTAGACTGAGGGTAAAAATTGCAGCAAAAACTAATTTTGTTTTTTACCTCACGATATTCATTTTTATCTTTTTTGGCTGGAGTTTTTCTATTAGTAAAGGCAGCTACAATGCTCTTTTCCAAAACACGGCCTCCTGACTGAAATAATTTCATGAAAATGGAAATTTCTGTCTATGTAAACTTGTTTAGCTTTGATTTCAAGTCAAACACAGCAAACGAAAACAAACACTCCTATCCTACGCCTTGTAGCTTTTTGTGGCAGATAACCACAGAATACAGGAATGCTCTTGTAACTGTGCTTCATTAGCTTTTAAGTGGCTTACCATGCAAGCTTTCCTAAGTGTCATTATTGTACTATTTACATTGTATATTATGAGTTATAGGATGCAAGCAATTTATTTCTATGGAAACTCATAACAGAAACTAAACGACAATGGTTCCCAGTGAATGCCGAATAAAAGGTTTCATGGTATTTTGCTTTCACGGAATACTCCCTTATTCACAGGGATGCTTTCAGAAATGTCAACAGGAGATAATGAAAGGTAATAAACAAAAAAATGAACGCTAACACAAAGCGGCTTTGTGCAAACGACTTTTACTTCTGTTATCTGAGGACTTCATTTTCTGTTCTAACAATGAATTCTGCCCTGTGCATAAAGCAAAGGCTGGCCATTATTCACTGGGGAATTAGGAGAATAAAATAAAAAGTTCCGAAAAGAAAAGAATATGAGAAAAGCACAGTATAACATGGCAGGCGGGAAGTCAAAAATAAATAAAAAAGGCAAGAACAATGTAATTGATAAGAATCAGCGCAGACAGAGTGTGTGTGATCCCTATACCTGTACATAGAGCCTTGTGTAGGCTCTTTAATTCTTCCTCTCTATTCTCTCATATATATCCTTAGATAGTAGCTGTGAAATCTCAGACTGAAATTCGAACTTTTGACAATAGATTAAATCAGTCCTTACAGTCTTGTCTGGTTGCAATGACATCATTTCTCTTTTCCTGATTGGATGGAAGATTTATTTTTTTCTCTATTGACTGAAGTCAGTCAAAAGAAAAAATAAATAATTCCAGCAAATAGGAAAAGGAGGGAAGAAGGAAGCTAAAGGTAAGCATGTAATGTGGATTTGTACATTTTTCGCAGTTGCTAGAGTAGGGAATGAGAAAGAGAACAATAAAGAGCCTCAACAGCTTCTATGCACAGGTATTGTTAGATAGGAAAACAAGTACAATGGCATGGGTCACTTTAAGAATTAAATGGAAATGCGTTCCCAGTGGTGAAAGAGGTTCTATATCTTAAATGTTTATTACCGTAATGCATTCCCTGCATTAAGGTAAAAAAATACCCCACTTCCTGTTCTACCCACCCCCCCCCCTTACCTGGCACCGATCCAGTGCTGACTTGGCTGCAGCACTGCTCCCCTCACTTTCTGGTCTCACAGGTGATACTGAAGGCAGCAAGAGCCATAGGCTCCTACTGCTGTCAGTCAAATTCCTGTAAGGAGGGAGCAGGGGCATGGCTTACCCATGCTGTATGTGTCTATGGACACACACAGCCTGGCTCAGAGAGCACACACACAGGTTCCTTCATAGCACCTGCTTACAAAGAAGGTACCTGAAGGAGAAGAAGCAGACAGCACCTGCGAAGGACTTCTAGAAGAGGAGGTAAGGGACCTTTCTGTGTAATATCATTGCACACAACACATAAGTATAACATCTTTTTTTGTTAAAACAAAAAAAAAAAAAAAACATACCATTTAATGTATCTTTAATGCTAATGTGGGAAGATTGATATGATATGGTAACAAAAGTTTTGTTTTTGCTACTCGGCAGCTGTTGGGGCTCCAAATAAGTTCAGAAATCAGAACATTCAGAAAGCCCATCATGCTTCGCCCAGTCAAATTATTTATTACCAACAAAAACACATTCTGAGCTTGGTGACAATGTGAAAAAACAGCCCTGTGGACACCACCAATGATTAAATATAATAATTTGCATTTGGTTGCTAAGGGTTTTTTCATAAATTGGTTGCAAATAGTTAAGCAATTCTGAGAAAAGAGATCATGTCCCTTGGAAAGGGCTAACCAATGATGCACACTGCAGTAGCTGTAGGTGTAGAATACTGTCAGCATCTGTGGTAGTGAGCTCTTAATCCACAGCTTGGGGTTCCCCAGGGCACGGAGTCTAAGCCCCAGCCTGCTTGTTCACCAGAGCTCCTGATGGTGGGGATGGACTTGCAGCAGGCTGGGACCAGGTCGCGGCCCCAGGTACCCCAGCTGAGGTAGAAGAGACCGCTAGCCCAGAGTATGATGGGAGTAGACTCAGGAGATCCAGTAGGCTAGCCGAGGTCAGGAACAAAGCCGAGGTTGGTACACGGATAGACAATATAGGAGGAATGTCAGGGACAAGCCGGGGTCA